GGCATAAAAACCAGCACATGGATTAATGGAACAGAACAGAGAGCCCAGAGATAAACCCAAGTCTCTACGGTCAATTAATATTTGACAAAGAGGGCAGCAACATAAAATGGGGTAAAAATTGCCTCTTCAACAAATGGTGTTGGGAGAACTGGACAGCTACGTGCAAAAAAATGAAATTTGAGCACCAACTTACACTATACACAAAAGTAAATTCAAGGTGGATAAAAGACTTAAATATAAACCATGACACCATTAAAGTCCTAGAGGAGAACATAGAAAGGAAAATCTTAGCTATTTCACGTGGCAACATTTTTACTGATATGTTCCCAAGGGCAAGGGACATGAAGGAAAGAATAAACAAATGGGATCTCATCAAAATAAAAAGCTTCTGCCCAGCTAAATAAAACAGTATTAAAATAAAAAGAGAACCAACTGTATGGGAAAACATATTTGCCATTGATACCTCAGACAAACGTTTAATCTCCAAAATATATAAAGAACTTACACGACTCCATTCTAAGAAGACAAGCAACCCAATTAAAAAATGAGCAAAGGACTTGAACACAGACTTCTCCAAGGAGGACATACAGAAGATCCAAGGACACATGAAACGATGTTCAATATCACTAGCTATCAGAGAGATGCAAATTAAAACCACAGTGAGATACCACTACACACCAGTCAGAATGGCCATCATAAACAAAGCAACAAACAAGTGTTGGAGAGGTTGTGGAGAAAAAGGGACCCCAGTACATTTTTGGTGGGATTGTGCACTGGTATAACCACTAAGGAAAACAGTATGGAGCTTCCTCAGAAAACTAAAAATGGATCTGCCTTTTGACCCAGCAATTCCTCTGCTGGGATTATATCCTAAGAACCCTGCAACACCAATCCAAAAGAACCTATGCACCCCAATGTTCATAGCAGCACAATTTACAATAGCCAAGTGCTAGAAGCAACCTAGGTGCCTATCATTAAATGAATGCATCAAAAGACTATGGTGCATTTACACAAAGGAATTCTGCACAGCAGAAAGAAAGAAGGAGCTCCTACCCCTTGCAACAGCATGGATGGAACTGTAGAGCATTATACTAAATGAAATAAGCCAGGTGGTGAAAGACAAATATCATATGATCTCACCTTTAACAGGAATCTAATCAACAAAACAAAGAAACAAGCAAAATATAACCAAAGACACTTGAATAGAGAACAGGCTGACAGTGTTCAGAGAGGAGAGGGGAGAGAATTTCAGGAGAAAAGGGGAAGGGTTTACAGGAACAAATATAAAGAACAGATGGACAAAAACTAGGAGCAGGTGGAAATGGGAGGGAGGTGGGGAGGGCTAGATGGGTGGTCTGGGATGGGAGTAAAAGATAGAAAATTGTACTTGAACAATAATTAAAAAATATATTTTTTTTTTAAAAAAGAAGGTCCCAATTTGCTTGTGGGTGGTGGGGAATTGACAGAAAGCTGGTGAGAGCTGAGCAAGCAGCATTATTTTCACTCACACCCCTCCGCCACACACAGTGCCACAAAGCAGCCACACGGATTGCCCTGCCCTGGCGAATACCTGAGGCTCTGCCATTTACAATGTAACAGGCACTCCAAGACAAAAAAATATAGCCCAAATGAAAGAACAGATCAAAGCTCCAAAAATAGAATTGAGTGGTTTAGAGATAGCCAACCTATCACACACAGAGTTCAAACACTGGCAGTCAGGATGCTCACAAAATGGTTGAGTAGGGTCACAAAATAGAGAAAAAAGTGAAGGCTATGCAAAGTGAAATAAAGAAAAACTTACAGGGAACCAATAGTGAAGAGAAAGAAACCAAGACTCAAATAAATGATTTGGAGCTGAAAAAAGAAATAAATATTCAACTGGAACAGAATGAAGAAACAAGAATTCAAAAAAAATGAGGAGGAGCTTAGGAACTTCCAGGACAACTTTAAAAAGTCCATCATCCAAGTCATGGGAGTGGCAGAATAAAAGAGGAAGAGAAAGAGATTGAAAACTTATTTGAAAACATAATGAAGGAGAACTTCCCTAATTTGGCAAAGAGAATAGGCTTCCAGGAAGTCCAAGAAGCTCAGAGAGTCCTAAAGAAGTTGGACCCAAGGAAACACACACCAAGTTACATTTATGTTACCCAGGATTATAGTTAAGGACAGAATCTTAAAAGCAGCAAGAGAAAAGGAGATGGTTACTTACAAAGAAGTTCCCATAAGACTATTAACTGATGTCTCAAATCAGAGAAGAAGGTACTGGCAAGAAGTATTTTAAGTCATGAAAGGTAAGGATCTACATCCAAGATTACTCTATCCAGCAAAGCTATCATTTAGAATGGGAGAGCAGGTGAAGTGCTTTCCAGATAACGTTAAGTTAAAGGAGTTCATAATCACCAAGCCCTTATTACATGAAATGATAAATGAACTTATCTAAGAAAAAGAAGCTGATCAAAAATATAAATAGTAAAATGACAACAAACTCATAATTATCAACAACTGAAGCTAAAACAAAAACAAAAAGAAAAACTAAGCAAACAACTAAAACAGAAACAGAATCACAGAAATGGAGATCACATGGAAGGTCATCAGCAGGGAGAGGATGGGAGCAGAATGGGGAAAAAGGTAAAAGGAATAAGAAGCATGAATGGTAGGTACAAAATAGATATGTCAAGAATAATATAAGAAATGGAGAAACCAAAGAACTTATATGTACAACCCATGGACATGAACTTAGGTGTGGGAGTGCTGGTGGGAGGGGAGGTGAAGGGTGAGAGGAAGAAAGGGTAAAAAAATGGGACAACTGTAATAGCATATTGAATAAAATATATTAAAAAAAAACAAAACAAAAAATGGGCAAAGAACTTGATGGACATTTCTCCAAGGAGCACATACAGAGTGCTCAGAGACATACAAAAAGTTTCTCAGCATCACTAGCTATCAGAGAGATGCAAATTAAAACCACAATGAGATACTACTTTACACTGGTCTGAATGGCCATCATATACAAATCAACAAACAACAAGTCTTGGCAAGGTTGTGGAGAAAAGGGAACCCTAGTACACTGTTGGTAGGAATACCGACTGGTTTAGCCACTGTGGGAAACAGTATGGAATTTTCTCAGAAAACTGAAAGTGAAATTGCCTTTTGATCCTGCAAGTCCACTGCTGGGATTTTATCCTGAGAACCAGAAACACCAATTCTAAAAAATCTACGCATCCCAGTTTTCATGGCAGCACAATTTACAGCAGCCAAGTGTTGGAAGCAACTAAAGTGCCCATTAGTGAATGAGTGGATCAAAAAATATGGTACATTTACACAATGGAATACTACCAGCAGAAAGAAAGAAGAGCTCCTACCCTTTGTGACAGCATGGAGGAACTGGAGAGAATCATGCTAAGTGAAATAAGCCAGGCATTGAAAGACAAATACCATATGATCTCACCTTTAACAGGAAACTAATCAACAAAACAAACAAGCAACCAAAATATAACTGGAGACATTGAAATAAAGAACAAACTGAGAGTAAGAAGTGGGGAGTGTGAAGGGGAAAAGAAGGGGAAGAGCCTTCAAGGAACATGTATAAAGGACCCATGGACAAAGACAACAGATGTTGATAGGATTTAGTGTGGGAGGTGGGGGTAGTTTGGGCAGGTGAGGGTGATGGGGGAAAATGGGGGAACTGTAGTTGAATAACAATAAAACAAATTTTAAAAAGTAAAATTAAAAAAATAAAAAAATGTCTAATCTTCATATCAGGTATAATTCTGTTCGTTGTTCACTCTATTCTTTGGAAGATTGTCTATGTGTCCCAGTTGGGTGTACAAGCAAGTGGGTTCAACTCCCACCTACCTTGTCACCATCTTCTGCTCTCCTCATATCCCTCCTGATCTTTATCCACTGTATGTGGGTGTGGGACCACCCATACTGTGTCCTGCATCTTTGCCCTTTCTACCCTTCTGAATGAATGTAACTTCTTCAATTCCTTGGTAGTTGGACTTCAATGCAGCTCAATTTTCTGAAAATTCTGGGTGATAGTTGTTTTGTAGTTTAGTTGTAATTTTTTGCTGTGATTGTGCTAGGAGGTGAGCAATGATTAACCATGCCTCCATTTTTATCTGGAATTCTAAAACCATTCTTAAGTATCTATTATGTGACAAACATCGGTTGAGGTCCCAAGTATAGTCAGTGAACAAAACAGGTGTAGTCCTTGCCATTATGGAGGTTGATCTAATTGTGATAACAAAGTATTGATAAGTTTCTTACTATAATGATGCTCTCCATGTAGTTTCCCTAAAAACAGACAAGAGAAGATTTGACTGAATGGCCAATAGGCCATTTCTTATTATAAATTATTATTATAATTTATTTATCATAAATTAATAAAGTGGCCTCTGAATTTATATACGTTCGTCTCTTGTGAACTTAATTCTGTGACTAAATCACTCCAAGTTAACTTTGATATGCTGACAATATTATTTAAGTCCCTGAGACTGAGAATATAAAGTGTAGACATAACTCTGTCACAACCTTTCCAGGAAAGGACATTTTGTGAAACTTTTGACAGCTAAACATCTGACTTTTCTTATGACAACCTGAAATATTACCTAAGCAATTTCATTTTGAAGTTTTTCAAAGTGCAAGAAATATTAAACAAATTATGTAAAAATTAAATAAATTATGGAAACATGGTTAGGTCAACATTTTAAAGTCATTTATAGTTAAGACTCAAAGCTAGAACTATAACTTTTCCCATAATGACACCAATGTTATTTTTTGTCTTGGATAACCTTTGAACCTCTATCATAAAAAGACATACATACCAAGGCCCAACCTCAAAATCTTTATACATTCTCAGATGAATATACAGAAATATATTAGCATAGATATTAACATATTTTAAGAATCCATAACTGTAATTACTTTATTTTTGTGCAAATAGGGTGGGGTTTGCTCTGAAGTTGATGTGGAATTTTTAAAAAATTACTATTACTCACTTAAGGAAGACTTCTTCCATGGTAGTTTTTGAAGCATCAAAGCAGGCAATGCCTAGCTCTCTTTTTTTCTTATTCAGTTCATTAAACAGAGTTTTAAACCTGGAGAAGAGGGGAAAAAAGAAAGTACTAGCATTAATTCAGGTACATTTTATTTTTGATTTTTAGTTCATTTTATTTTCTAGTAAATAAAAAATTTAAAATATATATACAGTGGAATACTAATCAGCCATAAGAAGAGATGAAATACTGCACCTGCAACAAAATGGATGGATATTTTTTTTAAAATCCTCACCCAAGGATGTGTTTTCATTGCTTTTAGAGTGAGAGGAAGGGAAAGAGAGATGTGGGACAAAAACATTGATTGGTTGCCTCCTGTGTGTGACTAGATGGGGGATCTTATGTGCCTGGATAAGAGACACACACCCAGACTGAGGACAAACCCACAACCCAGGCATATGTCCTGACTAGGAATCAAACCTGCAACCCTTTGGTTATGGGATGATGATCCAACAAATGAGCCACACTGGCCAGGCCTACATGGATGGATCTTGATAATATCATGCTAATCAAAATAAGTCAGACAAAAAAAGTTAAGAACCACTATGATTTTACTCATGTGTGAAATATAAAATGAAAAACAACAAAGGAAAAGCAAGATAAACAAACATAAACTCATATACACAGATAACAGTAAGGTGGTTACCAGAGGGAAGAGGAGTGGGGGTGTAGTAAAGATAAAGGGGGTCAAATATATGGTGACAAAAGAAGATTTGACTTTGGATAGTGGGCACACATTGCAATACACAGATGATGTATCATAGAATTGTACACATGAAACCTCTATAATATTATTAAATAATGTCGCCCCAATTTAATAAAAATATGAGCAACTACATGTTTTCTGCATTTAATATTAATTTTATTCCCAATTGTATTCTGCCTTATTGTTTTTTATTCAGTTGTACACTTTACTTTTTAAAAAAATTTTACTTATTTATTTTTAGAGAGGGAAGGGAGGGAGATAGAGAGAGAGAGAGAAACATCAGTGTGCAGTTGCTGGGGGTCATGGTCTGCAACCCAGGTATGTACCCTGACTGGGAATTGAACCTGTGACACTTTGGTTCTCAGCCCACACTCAATCCACTGAGCTACGCCAACCAGGGCTACTTTACTTTTTTAAAAAATGTATTGTTGTTCAGTAACAGTTGTCCCATCTTTTTCCCCATTGCTCACTCCTACCACATCACCCCCACTCCCAGAATTCCTCCCCATTGTCTGTGCCCATGAGTGCTCTGTTCATGTTCCTTTGCTTGCCCCTTCCCCTTCTTTCCCCTGTTTTCCCACTCCAACTCACCTCTGCTTTCCAAAATTATTTTACTGTGGCAATATATATGAAACATTAAATTTACTAATTAAATCTTCTAGGTGTATAATTTAAGCAGCATGGCTGGCTGTGCAACCATCACCACCAACTTCCAGAACTTCTTTATGATCCCAACCTAAAACTCCATATTATTAGATTGATCTACAAAATATATAAAGAACTCATATGACTCCACTCCAGGAAGACAAACAACAAAATTAACAAATGGGCAAAGGACCTAAACAGACACTTCTCCAAGGAGGACATACAGAAGGCCCATAGACATCTGAAAGGATACTCAACATCACTAGCCATCAGAGAGATGCAAATTAAAACCACAATGAGATACCACTTCATACCAGTCAGAATGGCCATCATAAACAAAGCAACAAACAAGTGTTGGTGAGGTTGTGGAGGAAAGGGAACCCTAGTACACCACTGGTGGGAATGAAGACTGGTGCAGCCACTGTGGGAAACAGTATGGAATTTCCTGAGAAACTAAAAATGGAACTATCTTTTTACCTAGCAATTCCACTACTGGAATTATATCCTAATAATCCCGAAATACCAATTAAACAGAACCTATGCACCTCAATGTTTATAGCAGCACAATTTATAATAGCCAAGTGCTGGAAGCAACCTAAGTGCCCATCAGTAAATGAATTGATCAAAAGGCTATCATACATTTACACAGTGGAATATTACACAGCAGAAAGAAAGGAGCTCCTACCCTTCATGACAGCATAGATGGAACTGGAGAGTATTATGCTAAGTGAAATAAGCCAGGTGATGAAAGACAAATATGATATTATTTTATCTATATGTGGCACCTAATCAACCAGACATATGAGTGAGCAAAATAGTCCCAGAGACATTGAAATAAAGAAGAAACTGACAGTAAGTAGAGGGGTGAGGGGAAAAGGAAGAGGGAGAATGAGGGAAAATAGGGGAAGGGTCAAGTCAAGGAACATGTATAAAGGACACATGGACAAAGCCAAAGGGGGTAGGATTGAGGGAGGGAAGTGGGATGGGTGTGGCAGGGGGAAGTGGTGGGGAAGAATGGAGACAACTGTACTTGAATGACAGTAAAAAAACCCCTCTATACTCATTAAATAACTCTTTATTCCTCCCTTCTCTCAACTTCACTTTTTAATTTCTGTCCCTATGAATTTGCCTATTCTATGTGCCTCATTTAAGTTAGGGTCACACAATATTTGTTTTTTTTTTTTTTTGTATCTGACTTACTTCATTTAGCATAATTCTTTCCAGGTTCATCCATTTTGTAGTATGTGGCAGAGTTTTATTCCTTTTTAAGGATGAATAATACTGTATGGATATATGTGTTGCTTACCTATTCATTTAATGGACATTTGGGTTGTTTATACCTTTTGAATTTTGTGAAAAATGTTGCTATGAATATTGGGGGTACAAATATATGTTTAAATTTCTGCTTTTTATTACTTTGGGTATCTACCTGGAAGTGGAACTGCTGGGTCACATGGCAATTCTATGTTTAATGATTTGAGACAATGACATACTGTTTTCCACAGCAGACAGCATTTTACATTTCCAACAGCAATGAATGAATTTCTCTATATCCTTACCAACATTTGTTATTTTTTTATTTAAATTATTTTATTTTTGTTCAAGTACAGTTGTCTGTATTTCCCCCCATTCCCCCTGCCTCCTCCCACCTCCTCCCACCTCTAAACCTCCCTCCCTCCCTTGCTTCCACCCTCCCCCTTGGTTTTGTTCATGTGTCCTTTATAGTACTTCCTGAAAACTCTTCTCCCCCTGTCCCTCCCCCTTCCCTCCGGTGATTGTTAGATTATTCTTAATTTCAGTGACTCTTTATATTTTGTTTGCTTTTTTCTTTTGTTGGTTATGTTCCAGTTAAAGGTGAGATCATATGGTATCTCTGTCTCTCACCACCTGGCTATTTCACTTATGAAATAGTAATTAAAAAGCTCCCAACACACAAAAGCCCTGGACCAGATGGTTTCACAGGAGAATTTTACAAAGCATTTAAGGGAGAGCTAACCCCCATCCTCCACAGATTTCAAAAAATTTAAGATAAAAGACTCCAAAAATATTTTTTTGTGTTTTTGATTTGCTTTCCCCTAATGAGTAGTAATGTTGAACATCTCTTAATGTGCTTATTGGCAATCTGTACATCTTCATTGTAGAAATATCTATTCAAGTTTTTTGCTCATTTTCAAATTAGATGAATTTCCAATATTGTTTTGTCACATAATAATTTTTGGAAAATAATTTTTCCAAAAATAATCTACCAATCATTGGGAAAATGTTTAGTAGATTATTCTTCAGTGTAATGCTTATTGTGAAAAAGGAAATGAGATATTTACCTTAGCCAATTTCTCTACACTGTAACTTGATCTTTAATATAAATTCCTTTATTCTTCTAAAAATTATCAATTTATTTTCTTTAAGTGTTAAGGACTATAGCTAATCAATAAAATTTATTCACTAGTGATTCCTACATCAAATGGAAAAGAATTATCAAAGCACAGGAGGTATAAATCATTAAATAACAGAAAATGGAGTTAGTGAAGCAGTAGCTGGGCACTGAAGAGATTCAATCACATAGATTAATTGTCTGAAGTTTTGCCAGTTGTGGTGCAGTTATATCAAGGATTCCAAAAAGAGTTTTACCAAAAAAAGTAACATTGTTTTAGGTTAAAAAGATCTCCAGAAAGCCATCCACTTAAACACACCTCCCATTCCCAGTGAGGGACTATCTAGTCTATATGTGGCTACCCTCAGAGATGGTGGACTCAAAACTTTGTCTTCTAGGCCTGGGTGGTGTGGCTCAGTTGCTTGGGGCATTGTCCAGTAAACTGAAAGATCATGGGTTTGATTACTGGTTAGTCATGCTTAAGTTGCTGGTTTGGTCCCTGGTCAGGGTCAATCTAAGAAGTCACCAATTGATGTATATCTTTTGTGTGGATGATCCTCTCCCTTTCTCTCCTTCTCTTCCCCTTTCTTTAAAATAATAAAAAAAACATATTCTGTAGTGAGGATAGAAAAAAAAACTGTTCATCTTCTAAATTTCCTTCCTTCTAAATTTAAGCTGAACTCCACTTCTGAAATTGAACTTCACCTAGCTTTGATTATTGGTTCTACTTTTACTGCTCAGTTAAATCTGACCCCTCTTCCTATGACAACTCTTTACATATTTTAAGGTCATTTTCCTCTTCCTTTTGAATCTTCTCAATAGAATCCCTATTCACCAAAACTCCATATTCTGTTAAGGATTATTGAATAACAACAACAACAACAACAACACTCTTGTAATGTCTTTGACTAATTTAAGTATCAGGATAACACTCATAAAACTGGGCCTTATAAAACAAGTTGGGAAATAATTCCCTTTTCTCAAATTCCCTAGAAGAGAATTTGTATAGAATTGCTATTTTTCTTTTTTGAAGTATATTTTATTGATTATGCTATTACAGTTTTCCCAATTTTCCCTATTATCCCTTCTTTGCCTTGTACCGCCCAACCCTCCAGCATTCCCCCACCCACACACTTAGTTCATGTCCAAGGGTTGTACATATAAGTTCTTTTAATTCTCTGTTTCTTATACTATTCTTAACCTCTTCCCATATATTTTATGCCAGCCAGTTATGCTTCTTATTCCTTGTACCTTTCCCCCCATTCTCCTCCCTATCACTGTGATAACCCTCCATGTGATGTCCATTTCTCCAATTCTGTTCCTGTTCTAGTTGTTTGCTTAGTTGTTGTTTTCACTGTTTTACTTTTTTTAAGGCTCAGTTGTTGATAGTTGTGAGTTTGTAGTCATTTTACTGTTCATAGTTTTTGATTTTCTTCAATTTCTTAGATAAATCCCTTTAACATTTCATATAAGGGCTTAGTGATGATGAACTTTAATTTGACCTTATTTGGGAAGCACTTCATCTGCCCATCAATTCTAAATAACAGCTTTGCTGGATAGAGTAATCTTGGATGTATGTCCTTGCCTTTCATGACTTGGAATACTTCTTTCTAGCCTCTTCTTGCCTGCAAGGTTTCTTTTGAGAAATCAGCTGATAGTCTTATGGGAGCTCCTTTGTAGGTAACTCTCTCCTTTCCTCTTGATGCTTTTAAGTTTATCTCTTTATCTTTAATCTTGGGTAACTTGATGATGATGTGCCTTGATATGTTCCTCTTTGGGTCCAATTTCTTTGGGACTCTCTGGGTTTCCTGGACTTCCTGGAAGTCTAATTCCTTGGCCAGACTGGGGAAGTTTTCCTTCATGATTTGTTAAAATAAGTTTTCAACTTCTTGCTGTTGTTCTTCTCCTTCTGACACCCATATGATCCAGATATTGGAACATTTAAAGCTGTCCCAAAAAGCTTAGGTTCCTAAGCCTCTCCTCATTTTTTTTGAATTCCTGTTTCTTCATTCTGTTCCAGTTAGATTTTATTTCTTCTTTTTGTTTCCAATCATTTATTTGAGTCCTGGTTTCCTTCCTGCCACTGTTGGTTCCCTGAACATTTTGCTTTACTTCACCTTGGGTAGCCTTCATTTGTCCCTTCATTTTGTGACCAAGCCCCATCAGATCTGTGAGCATCTTGATTACCAGTGTTTTGAACTTTCCATCAGATAGATGGGCTATCTCCTCATTGCATTAGCTCTTTTCCTGGAGTTTTGATCTGTTCTTTCATTTGGGCCATATTTCTTCATCTCGAGAACCTGTTAGGTTGTAAAGGCGCAGGGCCTTAGGTATTCTCCAGGGCAGGGCAGCCCTTTTGCTTCTGTGTGGCATTGTCTGTGGGGGAGGGGTCAGAGAGGAAACTATGCAGTTAGGTTGCTTGGCTCTGGCCCCACTTTCCAATGAAGTATAGTGCGAGACTGGAAGTTTCTCCCACCATGGCAATCCCTGCCATATAGTTAGTTTTGAATCTTAGTTTCCTGTTCAGCCAGACCTGCCTTGCTCTAATGGTCCTCTGCCTTGCCCTGGGACCTCTCAGCCAGCCCTGCCCTTGTTGTCCACTGCCTTGCCATGAGTCTTCTCTGTCCACTCGGTTGCCTATCTCCTTCCTACTGGTCTGGTTGAATGTTTCTTTAATTCCTTCATCGTCAGAGTTCCATGCAGTTTGATTTTCTGGCACTTCTGGTTGTTTATTGTTTTTAGATTGGTTGTTATCCTCCTTTTGATTGTGCGAGGAAGCGAAGGGTTTCTACCTATGCCTCTATCTTGGCTGGAACTCCAAATTACTATTTTTCTTGTATAAATATTTGGTAGAATTCATCTATGAAGTCATCATGTCCTGGAATTCTCTCTGTGAGAGTGTTTTAAGTATAAATCCAATGTTTTAAATACATAAGAGATTTTCAAGTTAATTTCTTCCTGAGTCAGTTTTGATAATTTGTGTCTTTTTTTTCCCTTTCTGGTTAGTGTGACTAAAATTTTACTAAATTCACCTGCTTTCTCAAAGAACTAGCTTAGAACTTTGTTTTAAAATTTCAAGTTCACTTTTGTTAGTCATATTTTATAGATTAGAATATAGGCATTTAGGTTATAAATATTGCTTCTATGTCTTTTCCTCTTTTTAATGTAAATATACAGGTATAAAGCATTTAGAACTGTGCTCAGCCCAAAGTAAATAACTAAGTTATCAAATTGTTGGGAATAACCAAGAACTACTTGTAATTTTATTCTTTTTCTACTATAGTGAACTAGTCTATGAATAAATGTACAATAGACATTTTATTTTGTCTTTTTTTTTCTCTTTCAATAGTTGGTTTAAGAGGAGGGTATAGGGGGATAAATGGTGATGGATGGAGACTTGCGGTTGTGAACACACAATACAGTACAGATGATGTGCTGTGGAGTTGTGCACCTGAAATCTATAATATTTTAAACAGTGTCATCCCAATAAATTTATTAAAAATATCCTATTAAAGAAAATTTCATTCTGTGCAAAAGTGTTTTCCCTAAGTTAATTATTTGCATTTCATACTATATTAGATCTACTGTTCATAACCCAGAAATCCCCATCTAAAGTATAAATATTAATATGCATGATTAATTATTCATTTTTTTCCAGAAATTCTCCCTCTTTCTCTCTTCCATGTCTAAAATATTTAGTGGGGATACAGGATAAAAACATTACCTGTTTCTAAATCCTTACAATTTCTATTTTATACTTAATATTAAGAATATATTCATTATTCTTGGTTTCTTATGATAATGTCATTTGTATACATATGATATACAATGGGCAGATGTGGTACATTAAGCAGCTTCTCTAATATGTTTATTTGGGTAACACTCAGCACCTTCAGATTTATAATTACCAGGGCCTCAAAGTGCCCAATAAACATGTGTATTCTAACTCTGTTGAAGAAATGTTCAGCATATAATGAATGTTCAGTTAGTTTCTTTCATCTTCCTTATTATCTCTCAGCTGTCTCAATACCATTCTATGCTCCTGCTTCTCAAGAAGTTTCAGATATACTCTGAATCAAAATAGCTCCCATGGAGCACATCCACTTCCATTCATTTCTCTTCTTGGATACAAATGTTCACTTTCATATCTCTTCATTTATTAGAATCCTCAGTGCCTGACTCTTGGTGTCATTTCCTTCAATCCACTCAGGAACTCTATGTAAGGTGCAAGCAGAGCAAGTACTTAGCATCTTTCATCTCTTCTTGTGTAAGGTAGCTACCTTGCATTTATGAAATACCTAGATAGTAGTAACTTTAGACAAAAAGATGAAAATGGAAAATTCTTGGTTTATTCCTGAAGGTCAATGATGAATACTGTCTTGGCTGGGATGGGAATGCCAATTAGAATTATCATTCCTGTGTCTCCCCTCTAAAATTAATTTGGCTGACCACTGAGGTCAAATTCACCGTTCCATCTGTGCCCTTGTCATTCTTGCTCTAAGATTTGCTATTTAAGCTACATTCTTCTTACATTATTTAAAAATTTTCCTGGATCTTACCATACATAAATTTGTTTTTATCATGAATAACTTATCACTAGTTATTTGTAATTAACACCAGGAAATTATGTAAAATAGGTGGCAAACCTCCCTCCACAAAAGAAATATAGAAAGAAAAACATCAAATAAGCCTTGAATAAACTTGAATTGATGAAGCAATCTCTTATTCAATGAAAAAAATCTTCATCTGTGAACTTCTCAATTATAGTTAGCAACCAACAGCTGTAAATGCAGACCTGGGTTGTTAGCAAAATACTACTCACTAAGCTTGCTATCCCATAAAACTAAAAATAACTTTTGGTCACCCAAACCATCCATCTAGAACCCCCTGAATCTATACCTGTGGGTATACTCTTTGGGAAGGTTAAATGATAATTCAGCTCCAGTACACTTTTCCAAGGTGGCATCTGCAATATGAGACCGAATCACTGCAGAAATCCTTTCAACATCATGTTGTGGTTCAAGTTCCATGACTATGTGATATGTAGCACCTGAGAGAAATCATTTAGAAGACCAAATGAAGAAGTTTTGTATTTCTTTAATCTTGTAAGATCAAATTTGGCTCTTTATGGTTCAGGTTACCTAGGTCCACAATGAGGGGGACATGCTATATCACAAAAGATTTTGTTTTGACTCTAGGGAGGCTCAAACCTAAAATTTCCAAATGTTTCTCCAAGAACCAAGACACCAAATAAGTGTAAACTTCCTCTATGATATCAGTAGTGTTTTTAGTAAACAATGATAACAATGTATATAAACAGATACAGTAGTTGTATGAAAATAGGTTCCTGTTTTCTGGCTAAAATTTTTAAAACTATAATCTTAAGAAATATTCATTTACTATCATTGGTTGTCCATTGTGTATCAGGCAGTAACTAGGCCCTGGGCATACAGCAGTAAAAAAATAGATAAAAATTTATGCCCTTATAAGAGCTATTTTCTAGACAAAAGGCCTGAATAATAAAGATGAATAAGTTAAAACATATATTGTGTTAGAAACAATACAGCAGAGAAGGCAGGTGTGAAATGTTAAAGGGAGGTTGTTAAATTTTAAGTGCCCATCAGTAAAGGAGTAGATCAAGTAACTATGATACATTTACACAATGGAATATCACACAGCAGAAAGAAAGAGGGAGCTGCTACTCTTCACGAGAGCATGCATGGATCTGGAGAGCATTATGCTAAGTGAAATAAGCCAGGCAGTGAAAGACAAATATCATATGATCTCACCTATAAGTGGAACCTTATCTACAAAATTAACAAATGAGCAAAAATAGAATCAGATACTTGGAAATAAAGAACAGACAATAAAAAATAAAATAATCAATGAATATAATTCACCTAATTAACAAACAAATAAAGAGAAAAATACATCTCAATACAAGGTGAAAAATGATCAAATCTAATATCCATTCATGATTGAAGTTCTCAAAAAGCCAGACAAAGAAGGGAACTTCCTCAACCTGGTAAAAGAGATCTATGTAAACTCTATACCTAACATCACATTGGTGAAATACTGAGGGCTTTCTCCCTATATCAGGAACAGGACAAGAATACCCATTCTCATCGTTTCTATTCAAAACATACTGCAGGCTTCAGCAGAGGCAAAAAAGAGAAATAAAAGGCATATATATTGGAAAGAAAGATGCAAAATTGCTTTTATTCATAGATGATGTAACTGTCTAGACAATCCTAAGAATCTAGAAAAAAGCTACTAGAATTAATGAACCTTAGCAAAATTACAATATGGAAGGTCAATATACAAAAATATACTTTGAATCCTCACACAACCAAAAAGAGGATAACAGTAAATTTAAAAACAAAAAATAACCAGAACTGCTAGAAAAATGAACTGCATGGAAGTCTGACAATCAAGGGTTTAGAGAAGAAACATTCATCCAGACCAGTAGGAGGGGCAGAGACAGGCAGCCAGGGTGGAGAGGACTTGCAGCAAGGTAGCATCTGGTGGAGCACTGGTCCTAAATTTGCATGTGAATAAACTGGAATGAACAACTGGGAAGTGAGACAGACAGGACAACCTAAATTGCCAGTGTGGAGAAATAAGGCCTCAAAATGTCTGACTGAAAAAAGCTGTGGGGGTACATGCATCAGGAGAAACTCCCAGCCTCACAGGAAAGTTTGTTGGAGAGACCCACAGGGTTATAGAATGTACACAAAACCACCCACCTGGGAATCAGAACCAGGAGGGCCCAATTTGCTTGTGCATATAGCAAAGGAAGTGAGTGAAACCCTGGCAAGAGCTGAGCAAGGGCATTGTTCCCTCTCAGACCCCTCCCTCACATAAGCGCCACAAGGCAGTGATGTCGGTTGCCCCACCCTGGTGAATACCTAAGGCTCCACCTTTTAGTATGTAACAGGTGCACTGAGACAAAAAAATATGGCCCAAATGAAAGAACAGATCAAAGCTCCAGAAAAAATACAACTAAGTGATGAAGAGATAGCCAACTTATCAGATGCAGAATTCAAAACACTGGCAATCAGGATGCTCACAAAAAGTGGGTGACTATGGTTGCAAAACAGAGGAAAAAGTGAAGGTATTAAAAAGTGAAATAAAGGAAAATATGCAGGGAACCAACAGTGATGGGAAGGAAACTGGGACTCAAACCAAAGATTTGGAGCAGAAGGAAGGAATAAGCATTCAACGAGAACAGAATGAAGAAACAAGAATGCAAAAAAAAAAATGAGGAGACATTTAGGAACCTCCAGGACAACTTCAAATGTTCCAAAATCTGAATCATAGGGGTGCCAGAAGGAGAATAGGAAGAGCAAAAAATTGAAAACTTATTTGAACAAATAATGAAGGAGAAGTTCCCCAATCTGGCAAAAGAAATAGACTTCCAGAAAGTCCAGGAAGCTCAGAGAGTCCCAAAAAAGTTGGACCAAAGCAAGCACACACCAAGGCACATCATAATTACATTACTAAAGATTAAAGATAGGGAGAGAATCTTAAAAGCAACAAAAGGAAAGGAGAGTTATCTACAAAGGAGTTCCCATAGGACTATCAGCTGATTTCTCAAAAGAAATCTTACAGGCAAGAAGAGGCTGGAAAGAAGTATTCCAAGTCATGAAAGGCAAAGATGTACATCCAAGATTACTCTATCCAGCAAAGCTATCATTTATAATGGAAGGGCAGATAAAATGCTTCCCAGATGAGGTCAAGTTAAAGGAGTTCATCATCACCAAGCCCTTTTTATATGAAATATTAGAGGGATTCATCTAAGAAATAGTGAAGATAAAAAATACAAACAGTTAAATGTCAACAAACTCACAACTGTGAAAAACCAAACCTAATAAAACAAAAACAAAAGCAAATTAAGTAGACAACTAGAACAGATTCACAGGAATAGAGGTCACATGGAGGGTTATCAGTGGCAAGAGGGAGGGGGAAGAATCAGGGAAAAGGTGCAGGAACAAGAAGCATAAATGGTAGGTATAAAATAGACAGGGGGAGTTTAAGAGTAGTATAGGAAATGGAGAAGTCAAAAAACTTATATATATGACTCATAGACATGAGCTAAGGTGGGGGAATGGTGGTGGGAAGGGGTGTACGGGGGGAGGGAGATAAAGGGGGAGAACAAATGGGACAATTGCAATAGCATAATCAATAAAATATATGTAGAAAATATACAAATATATATATATTATTGTAATAGTGAAAAATTGGAAGGTAAATTATTTTAAAATGTCATTTACAATAACAGAAAAACCATGACAAACTTAGGGATTAATCTAACAAATTACATGCAAGCTTTGTTCACTGAAAACATTGAGAGGCAGTAAAGACCTAGATTAATGGAGAGAGAAAAGCCATGTTCATTGATTGAAGAACTCAATATTGCTCAGAAGTCAATTGTCAAATGATGTCTATCTACCATGCAATCCTAATAAAAAAATCCCAACAGGTTATCTTTTTCTTTTTTTGCAGATTGAGAATTACATTTTAAAATACATATGAAAAAGCAAAGCCCTTGAATAGGCAAAACAATATTAAGGGAAGAGAACAAAGTTGAAGGATTTATATTACCCAATTCACAATTGACTTTTAAGTGAAATAAACCAGTGTGATTTGAGATACATATAAACTCTTACAATCCAAAAGGTGACAAACCTTTAAAATGGGCAAAGGAGTTGATGAAATAGTGCACCACAGAAGATATATGATGGGACATTAGCGCATGAAGAATGTGCAACATTAAGAAAATACAAACTAAAACCACAATAAGATACTGCTGCAAAACACAAGAACAACTAAAATGAAAATAACTGGTAACACCATGTGCCAACGAGGATGCACATGATGTTGGTATGCATGCAAAATGATAGTCGCTTGGAAAATAATTTCTTAATATACACAGGAGTGGGCAAAACTAGGTTCACAGGTGTGAGTACATACAAGTTAATTCTTATATTCTTATTTATTAATAATTGCATTATTTTTCCATAGAAACAACAGTAAATCTACTTTTGCCTCACCCCTTTATTTACCATATGACCCAGAAACCCCAGCTCTAGTATTTACCCAAGAGAAAGGAAATTTTATGTCCACACAAAGACATATATGTAATGTTTACAACAGCTACACTGATAATCCCCCCAAATTGGAAATAACCTGAAAGATCATTATCTGGTAAGTAAATGTCTATACAATGGAAAACTACCCAACAATAAAACTATTGATACAAACAACATGGATAAATTCTAAGGCAGTAAGTTAAATGATGGAAACCAGACACCAAAGGCAACAGATTGTATGATTCCATTTATGTGATATTCTGAAAAAGGCAAAAGCATAAAGGGACTATGGTTGCCAGAAACTGAGCCATGAGGGAGGGAGGAGGATATACTGCAAAGAGGCACAAGAGAAGTTTGATATGATTGATATTTAGATAATGCAAAAGCTTTTATATTTTAGCTGTGGTAGTGGGAATTTACACTGTATACAAATGCATACTGTATACAAAAGTTTAACTGTACATTTGTAAAAACATTATCAAAATACACAGAAGAGTGAATTTTGCTGTATGTAAATTATGCGTCAATAAGCCTAACTTTAAAACATCTAAGAAAAAGAAACAATTTTTTATTAGAAAATAATTTTCTAATCATTTTTATTAGTAATGATTTTTATATGAAAGAAATTAGATAATATTGTATTAACTTAGCACTTTGACTATATAGAGGAATTATTTTCTGGAATTAAAGACCACATTATGTGAAAGAGAGTGAAGGGACTTCTGGTCAAGATGACAGCATAGGTAAACACACCTTGCCTCCTTGCACAACCACCTAAAAATTATAACTAAACTATAGAACAACCATTATTTGGAACAATCAGAAATAGAGCTGAATGAAATTCCTACAATTACAGAATTAAAGAAGAAACCATGGCTAAAGAAAACAGCATTAAAATGAAAAGAGAAACAACTGTATGGGAAAACATATTTGCCAATGACACCTTGGACAAGGGTTT